ACACGCACACACACAACCACACACACCACACACCACACACACACACACCCACACACCACACACACACACAACCACCAAACCACACACACACCAACAACACAACACGCACACACACACACACACACCACACACACACACACACACACACAACACACACACAACAGCACACACACCAACACACACACACACACACACAACACGCACAAACACCACCACACCGACCACTCACACACAACACACACGACGCAGACCCGACCTCCGTGTAATATACGAGCAGCTCACCTGACAATTTATGTGTTTATTCCGCACATTGGAACACCATTGCATTGCCCGTTGTGTTCTCCTCGTTAAAGAGATACTCGCGAATTCGGAGGCAGTTTGATTTTGATCTCTGTTTTCTCGTCTTTTCACTTATTATTATTATTTCTTATTATTTCTTTATATTTTTATCTGTTTTCTCGTCTTTTTAATTATTATATTATTTTTATTATATTCTTTTTTATATCTTTATCTGTTTTCTCTTCTCTTTTAATTATTATTATTACTATTTTTTTTATTCGGCGTGAGAGGGGATACTAAACGTGCGGGGGATAGATGGGGAGAGAGAAGAGAGATTGGAAGAGGGATAGGAATTGCATAGTGGAGAGGGAGGGAGAGGGAGATTAGAGGATAGAGAGAGAGGGAGGAGGAAGAAGGGAGGCAGGGAGGGAGAAGGGAGGGAGGAGGAGGAAAGGAGAGGGCAGGGAGGGAGGAAAAGGGAGGAGGCGCAGGGAGGGAGGAAGGGCAAGGGAGGAGGGAGAGGCAGGGAGGAAGGGAGAGGCAGGGAGGGAAGAAGGGAGAGGCAGGCGAGGAAGAAGGAGAGGCAGGGAGGGAGGAAGGGAAGGAGCAGGAGGGAAAGAGGGAGAGGCAGGGAGGGAAGAAGGGAGAGGCAGGGAGGGAAGAAGGGAGAGGCAGGAGCGGAGAGGCAGGGAGAAGGGAGCAGAGGGAGGAAGGGAGATGCAGGGAGGAAAGGAGAGGCAGGGAGAAAAGGGAGAGGCAGGGAGGAAGGGAGAGGCAGGGAGGAAGGGAGAGGCAGGGAGGAAGGGAGAGGCAGGGAGGGGGAGAGGCAGGGAGGAGCAGGGAGGCAGGGAGGAAGAGGCAGGGAGGAAGGGAGATGGCAGAGGAAGGAGAGGCAGGAAGAAAGGGAGAGGAAGGAGGGAGGAAGGGAGAGGCAGGGGGAGGAGAGGGAGAGGCAGGGAGAGAAGGAGAGCAGGGAGGAAGAAGGAGAGGCAGGGAGGGGAGAGGAGAGCAAGGAGGAGGAGAGGCAGGGAGGGAGGAAAGGGAGAGCAGGGAGGGAGGAAGGGAGAGGCAGGAGGAAGGAGAGGCAGGGAGGAGGAAGGGAGAGGCAGGAGGAGAAGGGAGGCAGGAGGGAGGAAGGGAGAGGCAGGGAGGAGAAGGGCAGGAGGCAGGAGGGAGGAAGGGAGAGGCAGGGGAGGGAGGAAGGGGAGAGGCAGGGAGGAAGGGGGAGGAGGCAGGGCAGGAAGGAGAGGCAGGGCAGGAGGAGAGCAGGAGGAAAGGAGAGCAGGAGGAAGGGAGAGGCAGGGAGGAAGGAGAGGCAGGGAGGAAGGAGAGGCAGGGAGAAGGAGAGGCAGGGAAGAAGGGAGAGGCAGGAAGGAAAGGAGAGACAGAGGGAAGGGAGAGCAGGGAGGAAGGAGAGGAGGGAGGAAGGAGAGGCAGGGAGGAGTGGAGAGGAGAGAGAGAGAGAGAGAGAGAGAGAGAGAAGGGGGGGGGAGAGTCGGAGACCTCTGGCACTCGTTTTATTATCAATACAGAATCTTATGAATGGTCTGTTTGTTTGTCCGGAATGAAGGTTCCAAGAGTCGAATATGAGATGAATTTCATTCTAAGTTTTCCATATTGATTCTCTCTTTCTTTCTCTTTCTCTCCTTCTTTCTTTCTTTCTGTCTCCGTTTCTCTGTTCTGCCTCTTCCCCTCCCTCTGCCCTCCCCTCTCCCTCCTCTTCTCTCTCTCTCTCTCTCTCTCTCTCTCTCTCTCTCTCTCTTCTCTCTCTCTCTCTCTCTCTCTCTCTCTCTCTCTCTCTCTCTCTCTCTCTCTCTCTCTCTCTCTCTCTCTCTCTCTCTCTCTCCTCTCTCTCCTCTCTCTCTCTCTCTCTCTCTCTCTCTCTCTCTCTCTCTCTTCTCTCTCTCTCTCTCTCTCTCTCTCTCTCTCTCTCTCTCTCTCTCTCTCTCTCTCTCTCTCTCTCTCTCTCTCTTCAAGGCTGTCACGTTTCCTTTGTTTACGAATGTGTTGGTAACTATATTAGATGTTAAGGAAATTGCAAGGTCACCAAGAAACATTTCTATATCACGAACACATATAAAGCAAGGACACACTCACACATACACATACATGCACAAACACATAAATTTACACACACACACACACACACACACACACACACACACGCACACACACACACACACACACACACACACACACACACACACACACACACACACACACACACACACACACACACACACACACACACACACACACACACACACACACACAACACACACACACACACACACACTGACATACGCACACAAATATAGATAGATAGATGAAAAAACAGCTATACACATATACACCTTTTCTTATAAAGTAAGGATCTGCATTTCCACAATCCGAGAAAATGAACTGTTACTAGTTGGCTTGAGGTATTAGTGAGACATGAAGAGCAGTTTTATCTTTTTTATCGAATTTTATTGACAATCAGATACAGACTGTACAAGAGACAAGAAACATCTTATCAGAATCTCGATAAGCAGAGGCCCCCTGGGTGAAAGGGGGGAGTACAAGGTCCATCATTTCACAGAAATAAATAATAAAACGCATTTCACTTTGGCTCTGAGCATTTTATAGCGTCTGACGGATTTTCTAATCTACTTACTGGCCCTCCATGAACTCGAGAAAACGGTTCATCACGCACACTTTGAAACGCACTGTTCTCTCACTATAAAATCGACACATATCTGCTTTTCTTATATATACACTATGGATTCAGACTCTCACTGCGCCCCTGGGATAACTGTGCAGCGTCTATGAGCCTGACGATAACACATACTTCATCACACTTCTGACATACCACGAGAGAGCTGTCACTATATCACCGGGACCGGACACCATAACCACAGCCGATGGCACTTTACTTTTCGCTACAGTGTGGTTGGGTTTGTGAGGTTCGGCACCACTATCGCACACACTGGTTGACTACTAACACACTCTATATACATATATTTCTTTCATTCTCTCTTTCTAGCTGTAATTCGCCGTGTTCAATTTCTCACTGACACCGTTCTCCTTGTCCCCCTCCCTCCCGCGTCTGTTTCTGAGGGCGGCGCCCTTCTCGCCCGCGCCCTTGCCCCTGAGCGCCAGCCCGACCTTCACCGCCGCCACCACGAGCAGCAGGATGCCTAGGCCTACCAGCACCCAGGTTCCTACCGTGACGAGGGTGAAGGGCAGGGTGAGGGTGCGGTGGAGGGCCTCCGTGCGCTCGAGAGGCACCACGGCACTCTCGTTCACCCACAGGATGGGGAAGATGACGTCAGACACGTTCCTGAAAGAGGGGAGGTTGCTGTAGCGCCTGAGGGGCATGTTCACCTGGATGCGCTTGGCCGCCCGCATGGTCACGCCCGTGGTCGGCTCCACGTCCAGGTAGGTCTCGTGCTCCTCGGCGCGGGGGCGGAGGCCCTCCACCTGCTGCGCGTCCTCGGGGTCGCCCTGGTAGAAGTGGGGCGTGGACATGACCACGGGCGCGCCCTTGCGGCACGGGGACACGTTGATCATGGACGCCCTGCACGTGAAGTCGTCGGTGCAGTAGCACTTGTTCTCGGGCGTGTTGGCCAGCAGGCGGTCGGGCAGCACGTACCTGTAGAGGGTGACGGGGCCGTGGCTCACCTCGCGCTGGAACTCGGCGAAGATGGAGCGGCAGAGCTCGGCCGTGTAGAGGCGCAGCGGCCTCTTCTTCAGCACGGGCTGCGGGAACTGGTTGCCGCTCGTGCCGTTGATCATGTTGCACGTGTTGCCCCCCCACAGGTCCTTCTTCCAGAACTTGACGTCGCCCTCGCCTCTCCAGCTCACGATGTTCTGGTAATCCTCCATCCCGTTGACGCCCGTGTACACCGTGTAGTTGCCGTCGTTGGTGTTGTTCTTCGGGTAGAAGAAGCCGAACCTGCCCGTCATCTGCACGGGGTCCTTCGTCAGGGCCCCGATGCTGGACAGCATGGGCTCGCGGTAGCCGTGGAAGAGCAGCTCGCCCACGGGCTTGGTCACGAAGGGCTCGACGCCGAAGCGCATGAACCACATCTCCACCAGCGCCTGTACGCCGCCCGAGAACTGGGAGAAGCGCGAGCCCAGGCTCATCATGACGGCGTTGATGGTGGTGATGCGGTCGCTCTCCGAGAGGCCCTCCGACAGGTCCTCGCGGAAGATGAAGGTCTTGTTCTGCAGGTACGTGACCGTGCCCTTCTCGTCGTCGAACTTCAGGTCGTACTTGAGCTGCTTCTCCGCGTACGTGTAGGGACCCACTTGTTGCAGCACCGGCTTGGCGCCCTCGAGCACCTCTTCCTTGTTGGTCAGGTTGAAGAGGTAGAACTGCATGAATATCGGCACGGGCGGCGACTTGAAGGACTCGAGCGTCTTGGAGCCCGGCTTAAGCATCAGCTTGTTGGCGAGGATGTTGTTGAACACGCTCTGGAACTTGGCCTGAAAGCACAGGCTCCCGACGATGAGGACGACGCCCACCGTCACCAAGATCGCCACTTGGATCTTCACATTCATCTTGCCTGAGGGTTGGTCGTGACTTCGAAGCCGTATCACAGAATCTGCTTATCGGTAATATCTTTCTTTGCTAGCCTTTCTAAAATCGTCTCACCATTCTTTGAGACCTGTAATTCGGTTGTGAATTCACAGTACAGTATGTAATATTTCTGTATGTACAGCTTTTATCCTTCCACACTGCTACAAATAAGTCATCACAACGCAACACACTGCCCGAACACGTTCATCACCTGTCGCATCACCACACTCTTACAGACAAGTCTCCTTTTTTCCACACGCGCGCCACTGCAACACTACAGCCACTTCTCTCGCGCTCAGGCCACACGTCGCCGTCTCACGAGGCTCCGCGCAGGTGACAGAACCCGCACCAAAATACCCTCCAATCCACCACACCTGGTAAGTGCGGCTCCACGTGGATCCGGCCGAGAGGCGCGCAGCGGACGCATGCTTCCCCACACGCGCGCTCTCTCAGAATGGCTGTGGTCGCTGCGCCGCGCGGTGTGTGGCGGCGGCGGCTGAGGCAGTGGCAGCGAGGAGAAGGAGGAGGAGCAGGAGCAGACACGAGTGCAGCGACGCCCCCCTAAGCCAGTCCGAAGCAGCAGCGAGTCTCCGCCACCTCCTCTCCGTGGCAGCGTGGGAGAGGAACTGCTCGCGTTGACGGCCACGAACCCGCTGGTCTGGCCGGCCCGGCTCGCCCGCGGGAGCCAGCGCACCAGTTTTCCGTCTCGAGATGGAGCTGGGCATCAGACGGAGGGGAGGAGGGGGAAGGGAGAAGGGCGAGGGGGGAAAGGGAGAAGGGCGAGGGAGGGAAGGAAAGGGTGAGGGGAGGGGAGGAAGGGGTTAAGGTGAGTGGAGTGGAGAGAGAGGGAAGGATGAGGGGAGGGCGTAGGAGTAGGAAGGGGGAAAGGTGAGGGGAGGAGTCAGTGTAGAATGAGGAGAAAAAGGAATTACCAAAGAGAGCAAACGTAAAAGACCCGTGATCACACGAGCGAGACGAGATAAAAAGAGTGAGGGAAGTGAGACATGCACGGCCTCACCGAACGGCAGATGTTACACCTGCGCCAAGTGAATTACGGCCGCGCAGACACCCCCTCTTCCCCTCCCCTCTCCCTCTCCCTCTGTGCATTCCCCTCCCTCTCCTGTACACTCTCCACCCCCTCCTGTACACTCCCTTCCTTCCCTCTGTCCACTCCCCTCTCCCCTCATTCTGTATACTCCCCTATCCCTCTGTATGCCTCCTCTCCCTCCTTCTCCCCCCTCCTGTACAATCCCCCCCTCCATCCGCACACTCCCCTCCTCCTACCTCCGTACACTCCCCTCCCCCTCCCTCCGTATTCATCCCCCCCCCTCCTTTAGACTCTCCTCCCCTCCTATACCCTCCTTCCCCCTCCCTCCGTACATTCCCTCCTTTACACACTCCCTCATCACTCCCTCCGCGCACGCCCCTCCCCCTCCTGTACACTCTCCTCAACACTCCTCCACTCCTCTCCCTCCCCATCTGCACAGTCCCCTCTTCCTCCCCTCTGCACAGTCCCCTCTCCCTCCCCTTCTGTACACTCCCTCTCCCTCCCCCTCTGTACACTCCCCTCCCCCTCCAGCACACTCCCCTCCACTCTCCACCCTCCCACACGTGACTAAGGGGCCAGGCAGAGTTCATGGAGTAGATGATCGTATATCTTTTGCGTTTGTTTGTTTGTTTGTTTGTTTTGTTGTGCGTCGCTGCAGGTGTTCGGAAATGAGAAGTGAATAAGAGAACAGAAAGACAGACCATGATAGATAGATTGCGATTGATGGGTAAACGAACTGACTTACAGGCTTGAAAGATGATAAGGATAGACAGAAAGACAAATAGACGAATCAGTATATTAGTAGAAAGACTGACTGACTAAGCAAATATGTTAATAGACAGACAGATAGCTGTATATCTGCCTACCTAGACAGATACACAGTTCCCCTGAAAGAGAGATATAGGAAGTGTGTGTATGAGTGTAAGAGAGAGAGAGACAGACAGACAGACACAGACAGAAAGAGAGTGAGAGAGAGAGGGGGTGAGGGAAGAGAGAGAGAGACAGAGAGGTGAGAGAGAGAGAGAGAGGGGGTGAGGAGAGACACACACAGAGAGAGAGAGAGAGAGAGAGAGAGAGAGAGAGAGAGAGAGAGAGAGAGAGAGAGAGAGAGAGAGAGAGAGAGAGAGAGAGAGAGGTGAGGGAAGAGAGACGAGAGAGAGAGAGGGAATAAAACTTGGAATTACCCAAAAGTGACAGTTCAGAAATTGAAATAAATGGAATTGCCCAAAAGTGATTGACCAAGAGCCGGTTCTCGTGAAATAAATTTAATTATCAGCATATTTGTATTATATGTGTGGGATTTATCAGCTGTGTCAATTCATGTAGTGCACATCACGGATTCAGTTTTACGTGCTCAATTATTTCATACGTATATATCTATTCATTTAATTTATCTGAGGTTTTGATTTCTTTTTTTCGTTAATTATTACTGTTTTTATTGTATTAATTTCCTCTTTCTTTATCCCCACATTTCACATCCCACTTTTTTCTCGATTTCATTCTAGAGGTTTCGTCCTGTGTGGCAATTTTCCTACAAGCTTACACGGAGCTGATAAGCCACGGGGGTTGTGTATGTTACGCAATCAGTCTTACTTTTTGTGGGTCAGACATGCGGCGGAGACACATAGACACAGACATACACATAGAGACTCACACAGACACATATGCATGCACGGACAAACCCACGTACGCATGCATACAAACACACAGATACATACACACATAAACGCAAACACACGGACACACAAACACGCGCGCACACACACACACACACACAAATACAACACACAAAATACAAACACACACATAAACACAAACACACATAAACAACAAACACATAAACACAACACACGTATACACACTTAATCACAAATACACGTATACACACTTAAACACAAACACACACACAAACACCTAATATACACAATAAACATACATAGTCATACACCCACGAGCATTGTACCCCATGTATACCTGCCTCAGCTACTCTTAATTAACATACGCCCTGTAGTGCCAGATCAAGACACCAAAAAAAAACCTTTGGCGAGGCACTCAGAACTCCACACTGACCTTCGTACTCTCTAGTCTGGTAACACTTATCACTTCGACTTTGGAATTGCATTAGTACCAGATCCCTGATCTCCCAGCAAGGTATAACACTGTATCAAGGTTACTGTGCAGTATTGGTTCGGCTTCTATATTTATCTTTTTTTTTTTTTTTTTTTTTTTTTTTTTGGCAAGTAAGGACTCACATTTGGCACTTATCTGACGTGGAGCGAGCCAAGTTATCTGGCATGTTGACAACATATTGTGACGTGCCGAATGCGTCAGTCCTCTCGCCTCATTTTACTCGCAGGTTGAAGCGAGGTCGAGGCAACCTGAAGCGAGGTTGGATGACTGATTGGACCTGTGTGCTTCGGGGTATGTCAATTTTGGGGGGTGATTTTTTTTTTTTTTAATTGGTGTATACTTTGCTTCGGTTTATATGGGTCTGTATGTCTGTTCCTTTTGTTTCGTTCTCACTCTCTCTATTCTCTCTCTCTCTTTCTCTCTCTCTCTCTCTCTCTCTCTCTTCTCTCTCTCTCTCTCTCTCTCTCTCTCTCTCTCTCTCTCTCTCTCTCTTCTTTCTCTCTCTTTCTCTCTTCTTTCTCTCTTCTCTTTCTCTTCTCTTTCTCTCCCTCTCTCTTCTCTCTCTCTCTCTCTCTCTCTCTCTCTCTCTCTCTCTCTATATATATATATATATATATATATATATATATATATATATATATATATATATATAATTTATTTATTTATTCATATAATATACATATATATATATATATATATATATATATATATATATATATAATATATATGTTATATATATATAATATAATATATATATATATATATATATATATATATGTATATATGTCTGTTTCTTCACTCACTCCTCCTCCCTCCCTCTCCCTCACTCCCCCGACGAACTTCCCTCCACCAGTCTCCCACACAACAGCAACAAAGCCCGACTAACCTAAGAATCGCCATCACACAATAGCAAAAAAAATGAGCCAAGAGGGGGTGGTGTGTGTCCCTCGTTTACGTTTACAATAGTGACCTTCCTAATGCTTTCAGAGAAGGTCGTTTTTTGCTTTTTTGTTTACGGGAGGGGCAGTTGGGAGGAGGGATTTCTGGGCGGAGGGGGGGGAGGGAGAGGGGAGAGGGGGGTCAGGGGAGTTCTATGGCAGAGGGTGGAGGGGGGTAAGGGGGGTTTGAAGGTGGACACCGGTAGGGGACGAGTGTAAAGGGCGATAGGTGGGAGGGTTCTTGGGGGCAGGACACCTGGTGGGGAGGGGAGTTTTTAAGACGGGAGTAAGAGGGTGGGACTGATAATCAAAATAAGAAAGGACATTCGTATTGCAGAAGGTCATACGTTCTTGTTCTTGTCTGGGACACCTGATTCGCCTACCTTTTTTGTTTTAATATGCAAATAAGTAAGAAAAAAAACATTAAGTTGGTGAAAAGGATATACGGTTTGATTTCATTGTTTCGCAAAAAAGGATTCGGTTTCCTCTATATATGATGGAAAGCGATGCAAATGGGGAATTGTTTGTTTCGTATTATATATGTTTTCTCCCTATTGTGCACGCAGGACACCGTTAATTTTACGCAAATTCTCTTTTGTTACGTTCTCTCGGAAATACAATACATGGCGGCTGTTTTGTTATACATGGGAGTGTAAACAGCTAGGAAATATCGACATGAGAGCGATAACAAACTTGAAGATCGTTTCGTAAACAACGTAATCATAATAAACAGAACGCCGAGAGCTATAAGCACAGTAAACCGACGACGTGTTGTAGTAGAATCAGATCCCCCTGTGTTAGGATCAGAATCCACAAGCGTATCATTTTCGCTTTTGCTTTATTTTACTTCATGGGGAAGGGGAGTTCAATCGTCAAGAGCAAAGGGCATAATTTTCATAGAAACCGAGCTTATGATTTCGTTTCCTCTCTTTTTTTCCAATTGATTTCTTTGGCCGAGTGGCGGTGTCGTCTCGACAGCTGAAGAAATTGGGTTTTTTCAAGTGTGAGCGCGGGATTAAAAGCTGATTCAGGGCCTAAATTCTTGCGTGTTTTCTGCGTGACGTAAACACACACAATTGTGGTGTACGTATTGTGTGTTGGCACTTTATTTACATCACATCACTCTCTCTCTCTCTCTCTCTCTCTCTCCTCCTCTTTTTACACACATCAATCACGCACGCACGCACGCAAACACACACACACCGCACACACACACACACACACACACACACACACACACACACACAGCACACATATATATATATTATAATATATATATATATATATATATATATAATATATAATAACTAATAACTTCCAGATTTAGTTATTAGGTTTACTCAGTAATCGAAATTAATATAGGCTCTAAAGAATAAGAAAATAATAGTTGCGTCAGTAAAAGCATTATTCCGATTACTTAAAGGAAGAAGAAAATGCAGTTCTAATTTGGAAACGAAGCTAAACCGGTCTACCCTCAACGGAAAAAAAGTCAGCGCTCAGTTCAAAATTATGCGTTTCATTTATACCTCCGCAGAT